GGGTATACGTCGACGACTTGTTGTTCACCGGTACGTCATCTGCGGTTGTGGAGCAGTTCTTCTTGAACATGGCTTTCCTCGAAATCGAGGACTTGGGCGTTGTTATCAAGTTCCTGGAACTGCGGATTGTGCTATATACTAAGCATGGATACGTGCTAGACCAAGAACCGATGTCGACGTACTTTTAAAGGACCACAGGTTGGAGTCAGCAAATGCGGTGCGGGCTCTTATTGATGAAGATTGCACTGACGTAGACCCTCAAGCCTTGAGTGCTTTGGCTGCATCGAGCACGTCCGGACACACAAGCATCAAGGCTTTCCAATCTCTCTTCGGGAGTCTACTTTGGATTGCACGTTGAACTCTACCGGACATCAGCTTTGCTGTGCACCGTGCAATTATCCAGACACGCAATCCTATAGAAAAAAGATTGGCAGATGGACAAACGAGTTGCGCGAAATTTGAAGGGCCTGAAGGACCTGTAGCTGTGCATCAACACCACGAGCTCTTCAAGCGATCCGATCAAGGTTGAAAGCCGGAGCGATACGGACTTCGCTGCAGACAAGTCCGATCGAAAGTCGGGTGTGCGGATGTGTGCTGACCATAGATGGTGCAGTGGTGTCATGGGCCTGCCAGAAGCAGACCGGAGTAACGCTCAGCACCATGGAAGCGTAGTTTATCGCAGCATCTCAAGCGGAACTCATACTATTGGGGATCAAGGTGCTTTTCGGTGAGCTGGGAATGTAGGTCAATCAATTGATGCCAATGTAGATGAACAATTAAGCTGCGATCGGGAAATTGGAGAGCTAAAAGAGCCATCAAGCGCAAAGCACGTCGACATACGACGTAAGTTTGTCTGCCACTACGCACAAGTCAAGGCAGTGAAGCCAAGTTTCGTCAAGTCTGGAGATATGATCGCGGACCTACTAACGAAGGCACTACTAGCCCTGAGAATTGTGGACTAGAGCGGGATATTCAAGCTAATCAGCATCGAGGATGACGTCGAGGGGGGTGTTAGAAGTTATTGTTTCTGACAGGTAACAAGGTCCTGCAGGTCAAGTGCAAGAACCGCTACAGGTAAGTTGCGACCTCACTAAACTGGTTGATATGTGACAGATTGACATGGAGGACAAAGAGAGACGGACGCCATGTGACAGGTTTGCCACGTGATAGAGAGAGACGGACGCCATGTGACAAGATGACACAGGGTATAGAGAGAGAGACGGACGCTGTAACGGGGCACTGGTGACAGCTTACTGGTTGACCAGTACGGATCTCACATTTTTGACAACAGTGATAGTCAGCGCCCTGCTAAGTGTTGCACCAACACAGAGGAAGGAAAGGGTACTAAGATCACACTCTAGTTTCTGGTAAAAGTAAATCTGTTATGTAATACAATTAAGTCTTATCAATCTTGTGTCTCTGTTTGTCCTGACTATATCATATTCATCTAACTAAATGTATGATGACGTCTACTCACCACTCATTTTTGCCGCGTCTAGCAGCGATTGGTGTGTTGATATCATCACGATAAAATCCAATGAGTTAACTCTTCGGTTATCTCAACAATATCATCATGCTCTGTTATATTATTGGAAGAGTATTTAACGTAATATTATTTATTGTCATTTAGCCTTAATAAAAATATCATGAAACGGGCTACCCCGTTATAGACGCCATGTGCAACTTGACATGGTCTAGTTGCAGTTCCATTTTGGTCCATGCATATCTAAGTGTTGACAGGGGGAATGCTTAACACTGAAAATATTTCACTTTTATGTTTACTATCTTTTGCACGAGTGCGACGGCAACATCTACGTGTAACATCGTCATCTCACCCATCGATACATGTGCTAGTTTGGTATAAAGTAGAGATAGTTGGCATTGAACCTAAGATATAGAGACTGAGATTTGAAACAAGTCGGGTCAATAAGTGGAGAATTTGCCGCCATTGCCACCACTCGATCGGACCAGGCCACTTTTCGCTAACAGAAGACAAAGTGGACAATCTACACTGAATAGGGTGTGGAAATGTGGTCCATTACCTTCCGCACACCTTTGTGTAAGGAAGCGCAAATATCTCAACGCCACACGCTGCGGTTACAGGTAGGAGTGAACTGCATTCGTACTATTATGGTCATTTCGAATATCCAGCTATCATCCTACTTTATAAGTGTCGAATCTAAGTTGTTCATGGTATACCTACCTGCAACTCATGGCGCGCGACTGTCCTTAGTTGGTGATATTGTTGGCGAAAAGAATGGTCTGTGTCAGCCAATGAGCCGTGTGTTTTGTCAACTGCTGCCAAATATATCCTCTAGCGTAATATTCTCACTTTGTTGTATCCTTTTAGGTAATTTTCTCGCATCTTTTTCCCTATAAGGCCATATTGTCAAAGTTTTGTCTGCTCAGATGATATTCACATTGACATTTCATGTCGATGTCATACGACCGGCTCACCCCGCCCGGTACCAGGCAAACTTCAAACTGACGAGGTGCGAAAACTAGAAGAAAGTACAGCGGTCGTGAGGATCAAGTCGTGGTTCTCGAGACACGTCGTAGCTTGTCTCTGTGGATATGCTGTTCACGAGCGCGCAATGGCCATTCGTGTTCACCAGCTCTTCATTCCCATCCAAAATCAAGGAGTTTCGTCATGTTTCGAGTGTACGTTGACGTAGGTAACTTGGCTGAGAACGATTGGACGCTAAAGTCATGGCTATCCGGCTCTGCGTGGGCGTATCGCAGCGACAAACGTCGCAAGAAGACCGGACAGGCGAAGTGGATGGACGTGGGCGGGAAGGGCTGGTTGTCGAGGGGTCGAAGCTTTGAAAGGGTGATGCGCAGTGTTGACGCCTTGTTGCTTGGCGGAGACAGGCAAACAAACGGTTATGGACTAGGGGCTTTCCTGCTCGTCTGATACTCTCCTAGTGTCCCATTGGTATCATGAGCCTGGTCAGGCGAGATCCGACCCGTCATGCACAGGTACAACCACCTGCATGTGCACACTAAGGACTGCAGACTCCTCGGTTGTTCTTCCAGTTAACAGTACCGACCTGTATCACATGCGGTGACTCTCGACGCTTGACGCCACCAGTGTCGCGTTGTAGCACATGGGTCCTCAGTCCAGCCACTTTGTTGCCGACAACGAACCTATCTACCGTCTTTGCACAACGTGTTTTGTCCGCTTGTACCGCACTGTGGTGGCCAAGGCCTTCGAGTAGTGGCCTGTATTGTCACAATGTACAGGCCCTTGACGTTAGCATCGCTGGTCACATGTTGCCATTGTTCGTGCGGCTGAGCTGACTATCAGTATCTTTTGCCACCATCTGCGCTCAACTCCATGTTCGCACACGAAAGGTCGTATGCCACATGTCCTGAGCAAGAAGTGTGCCGTCCTTCGACTGAGCGAGGCACACGAAAGTGTCAGGTGCGCCGCACCCTCTCAGTTGTACCACGCTTGGCACCAACATTCGATGATCTGTGACTCTGACAAGACACGGGTCCTACTGCGACTTGCCCTTGACCAGTACTCATTCATTGCAAAGATACCGCGTACCATTCCGAGACACAACAGAGCAAAGTCGATAACGTAGACGAAGGAATGCTAGAGACACGTGGATCTTGCGTTCGAACGAAGACACCTTCACCGTCGCACGAGGAAAGCTGTCGACGCCCAATTGAAGCCAGTGGTGCGTTTTATTAGTTGTGCAGGGGGATGTTAACGACATCAACACTTTGTCGTAGAACGAGTAACGACGTTGAGACCGAAAGCTCGTCGAAGTGAACCGAACGCAAGGGCGTTGCCTGTCGAGATCCCGACTCACCATGAGACTTTGAGGCGCGACGATATGCAATCGACGACCGTCGTGTGGACATCGTTCGTCTCCAGACGGGTTTTCCTCCCGCTCGTTACTGGAGACGAATGTTCGCGCGAATCTTCGAGCCGGCACAATGCCCTGACAACTCACTCGAGCCACGCGGGTCCGTGATGTTTGCATGTGCTAATGCCGAACGCGAATCGAAACGAGTCGTAGAGGTAGAACGCATATGGACAACGACACTTTGTCGCGACAGCTCGACGAGGCGAAAAGGGACAACCAGAAATCGGCCCCATGTGTCGGGCGTTGACAGTAACTGCTCTTCTCGTGCTCAACATATCCCTCGCCGGTCGCGGCCGCGGTCGAGTGAAGAGGGTCTCGACGCTTCTGATTCAGTCCATGTCAAGCAAGTCGCGCGATTTCGCTGCACTCGCTCACTCTCTCACTCTCTGCATGATCCAATCGGCTCTCGACCCCACGAGTGAGAGGCTGGTGCTCCCCATCCCAAACATCGGCTCGTGCTTCTTCCATAGCGGACACCCACCCACCCACACACACACACAGGGGCAGGAAGTCGCTCACTCCTGGTCCCGTCTCGTGGTTCATTCTCAAATCCATCTCGTCGCCGTCATCCCCGCACCGCTTTCTCCTGCATTACCACCTCACATCCATCCATCCATCCATCCCCCACCAACCACAACCACTATCCCCCCACTTGTCTGTCCGCGCCGTCCACTCTGTCCACGTGCGATGGAGTTGACACGTAGTTTACCAGACCTCGTGGAAGAGCTGCGGGCTCTTCGGAAAGAAATGGCCCGCAAGACGGACCTCTACGACTCGTTGCTCCGCACGTCGTCGTCGTCGTCGCACTCGTCTTCGCACTCGTCTTCGGACCCAATGCGACCCCCCACGGCCCCCGACCACGACCCCATCTTCACCCCATCGGCCTCGAAAGCGTCGGCGCTGTCCATGTCGTTCTTGCACCGATCCGCGGGTGGGCCGTCCACCTCTGGTCGGACCCCTTCGCAGGCGTTTTCGGCGGCGGCTTCGAAACCCGCCGACACGTACACTGTCACTTACGTCAGTGGCGACTGCGGCATTGCGCTGCGCAACTACGCCAAGCGGGACACGAAGGTCGGCGCGCAGATCGCCATGTTGCACCACGCCGACGGCGTGACGGCCGGCATGAGCAAGTGCCGCCTGGGCGACCAGTTGCTCAAGATCAACAACGAGAGCGTCACGTCGTGGCCGTTCGCTGAGATCGTCGAGACGCTCGAAATCGCGCGGCGACCGATTTCGCTGACGTTCCGCACGACGGCCAACGTCCACACGTCGCCCCGCGCGTCCACGCCGTCGCTGTCGTCTACGCCGTCACTGGCGTCCACGTCATTGTCGTCGATGTCGTCCACGTCGTCCACGTCGTCAATGCACTTTTCGTCGTCGTTGCTGCACCGCAAAGCCAAGTCGACGTCGGAGATGGAGCCCGAGGACGGCGCGCGTAGCAAAGTGTCGATGCACGCGCTGTTTTCGCGCTCGCGGTCGTCGAAAGCGACGCACCGGTGGAAAAAGGACCAGCGGCTGCAGGACGGAGGAGATGTGGTGGACAACGGCCGCGAGGGCTACGACTCGGTCCGTAGTACGTGCGACGGGGTGGACGACCGCCACGACCACTCGAGCGTCGTGACCGACCGACGGCGGGACACGGATCAGCATCCGTATCAGACTTTGTCGTCGTGTTATGACAGTAGGGGCCGGGAGACGACGACGACGACGACGTCCGTGCGATCGTCGGTGCTGTCCGAAGACGTGGAAATGTGGTGCCGCGAGCAGGAGGAGATGCACAGTGACATCATTATGCTCTTGACAGAGACTGTGATGCGGTGCGAGCGGCTGCAGCAGGAGAACTTGGACCAGCTGCAGAGCCTCATGCAGCTCTCGGTTAATAGCCCCAGCTGTCGGAGCGACTGCAGCAGTGCTGCGTCGTCGTATGCGGGAGGCGAGAAAAGTGGTAAAGGCGACAAGTGTTTGGAGTTCATAGACGGAGACGCAGCTGGACCGGTGGCCGAGACGAGTTCGACAAGTTCGTCCCCGAGAGCATAAAGGGTAGAGAGGGGTTGACGCTTTAGCGACAGTTGAGACAGCGCGTGTGGCTCGGGGTGTGTGTGAGAGGAACACGGGCTGTGGAGACTTGTGGAGATCGAAGGACGTGGATATACACACGTACACATTTGGACGGTGCCGTTTGCCTTGTCTTTGGCTCGAAACCTACGGCGCAACAAGTGCTGAGGGTGTGCGGGGGATGCAGTGGGTGTGCGTAGAGCAAAAAGATGCACGTGCGTGTTGCATAGTCTGTCGAGGGCATGCGAGAGACACTGGAGAATGGATGATATGAGTCGTTGTGGTTGTCGAGTCTGAGCTCTGCAGACGACTCCGTCTTCTTCTTCTTCTGCTTCTGCTGCTGCTTCTTCTTCTGCTTCTGCTGCTGCTTCTGCTTCTTGTGCGATAATGGATCGCATCAATCTACGAACGTGGACCGAGAGAGATCGACCAACGCGTAGAGATCATCCCGCAAACAAAACGCGCTGTGGTCGTGCGCGCGTTCATTCGCACAACGTCCGTACCGCATGCTTTTGCTGGTGCCACGTTACACATGACCAACTACGTGGACACGTGACAGACTGACTGACTGACTATACGTGTGACTCGGCGTCGAGTCTCCGAGTGGTCTCCATCCCCTCTCTCTCTCTCTCTCTCTCTCTCTCTCTCTCTCTCTCTCTCTCTCTCTCTCTCTCTCTGCCGACCGTCAATTGCTTGAAAGAGCTCCTCGTTCGACGATGCGTACTGGACGACGTGCGCAGTCTGGAAAAGCACCTGCTCCGCTTCTCGCGCACGAGGACGCGCTGCATTTCACTCGATTGTTCACAGCTTGGGCCGTGTCTACGACATACGGCCTCGTGTGCTTTTTTGCCGCGCGTTTCTCCTCCTCCTCCTCCTCCTCCTCTCTGCGTCTCTTCTACTCGCTCCTAGTCGCACAGCAGCAGGTTTGGGAGCACGCCACGACGCATCCGCTCGACACGTTGGGGCAGCGATTTCGTCGGCCTGTCGCACGCCCGATCCCACTTTGATCTTCGCTAGCAGAGACCGGTGCAGCGGCGCCCAACGCTGCGGCTAATTGGTCCATCGCATGATCCAGTCAGTGAGTAGTGCCTTCGCGAGAGACCGCCCGCGGGTGCACGTCACGACGACCGCATGTCGCTTCCGTCCGTCTATCGACACTGCTGTCGGTGCATGCAGTTTGCCACTTTCGTTCCCTCCCCGAGTCCTGCCACGTCGATCGATCGATCGAGGGAGCGTCCAGTAGGCCACGTTCAGCTGTCTGTCTCTGCTAGTTGAGGCGGCTGTGTGACCCCCTTCCGTCCGCTGGTTTTCGAGCCTTCTCGGTCCTCTCCTCTCAGCCCCAAAGCCGTGAGCTGAGCCCAAGTGACCCGACGAACGGCACTTCCGCACACCCTCAGGACTCAGGTGTCTTCGGGAACACCAAAAACGACGGCAAGCGCTTGTAGGTTGCCGAGTAGTAGAACCCCCTTCGGACTTGGAGGCTCCGATGCCCATGAGACGCTCGCCGCCCCGCAGGTCCCTTCAAGCACGCGAGATTTGCTTCCAAGTCACGGAGTGTCTTTCCGAGGGGTCTACGAAATGCACGGAGAAAGGCATGTGCCCGCCGTGCCTCTATGTGCTCTCGAGTGGCGAGTACTCGTGCTACAGTCGCGACGAAGCTGGCGACTGTCCTTTCACTGACGTGGACGCCGAGTGCGACGACCCCACGTCGGAGCAGCGAAGCGCCCCAACCAGTAGCGGCGATAGCCCGTCCACAACCCCAAGGACGAGAGGCATGAACACGACGTCTGAACACGTCGAGTCGAATGGCGCGACGGCACCCGAGCGATCGCCTTCGTCCGACGCCCACGGATCGAAGATTGCGAAGGAAAAGAGGTCGGACGAAGGGTTGTCGCCCGCAGCGACGCTCCCCCCGTCCGTTCCGTCGGCATCGACACCTTCGGGAGCACCACGTAGCAACGGCATTGGCCAAGCGCTGACGCGCGATGAGTCTGCCCCGTCAAGTACTGGCACGCCCATGGGCGTCCAAGTGGGCCTCATTGGCGGTGCCGTGCTGTTCGTAGTGCTAGTGCTCGTCTTTGTCGCTCGCCGCAAGAAAGGGAAGAAGAAGCAGAAGCACAAGATAAAGAGGAACGAGGACCGGACCGTGATGTCCCGCAACAGTCAGTGGTCCGAACGCACGTTGGACACGGCCGACACGGGCGACAACATGTACTCGACGTACGGCTACGGGAACAACGATCCGAACAAGGAGGGGATCGTCATGCTGTCCGACTCTCAAGCGAGTAGTACCTACGACCCGAGCGGATCCTTCTCGAGGCCAGCGGCCGACTTTGTAAACTACGGTGGCAAAATGCCGTTCAACGCGAGCAGCTCGCAGTACTACTCCGACTACGGCGCCAGCACTGGTCCAGATGCCATTGCCGATGGCGGGCAGCACCACTTTGGGACCAATGGACTACTGCCTTCGGGGCCGACACACGCCGGCGGGAACTTTGTCGACGTGACGGCTTCGTCCTCGAACTGCAGTAGGCCGTACCACGAGGCGGGGGCGACGCGGGTCGAGCAACACCCATTGACCGTGAGTCAGCTCATGCCTACTGCAGGCGGAGGCATTGACGTCGCGAAGGAACGAGCGCATGTGAGTCGACCAAAGCCGTCGAGGAAGGAGGTGGCCGAGGCGCCGATCACGAGTCGCCGACCGCCGCCGTTTCTCGGTGTATCGGGCGTCTCGACCGCAAGCAGCATGCGGAGTGACTACGACATTGTCGACCCCATTACGATGCAGGACGTTGAAGCGCGGAGCACGGAGATGGTGGCCCACGACCACCGCTACCCGCGGTTTTCGTTCGAGTCGGAGACGGACCTCTGCGATCGCTCGTCGTCGGAAGGGGACGAGAGCATTGACGTCGAGCGACTGCACAACGGCGTTGAGCATATGATTTGACGACGCAGTGGTCTCGAGCGCAAATCCCAGTTGCTGGCCGCATGTCGGGTGGGGCTCGCGCCTCTTCCTCCCGTTCTTTGAGGCAGGCGGTCTCTGGTTGCATTGTCACAGCCGTTTGTGCCCTTTCGTCGATCGTTGCGGGAAATATGAGCACACCGTCGAGAGAGAGAGAGAGACAGAGCCAGAGCCAGAGCCGGCGGAGGAATAGGGACGTCGTGATAGCGCAAGACAGAGGAAGAGGGTGGAAAGAGGGACGACAGACACACAGTGTCGAGAGCGTCTGCCATCCACTTTCGATACTGCGGTGCGGTATCGTGACGAAGGAGAAGACATAAGCCACTTCAATGCGTGTTCGTATGATATCTGTTCCAGGACGTGCTTTCGGGTCAACTATCGGCTTCGGTCGCCGATATGGTAGGGGAGTGACGAGAAGAGATGGGCGATCGCCCGTTCCGCTTCTCTTCTTCCCGACTTCATTGAGAATCCAAAGAGTGTCTCTGCTGTCGTTTCGTTCTCGACGATTGGCAAGCGGAGGAGAAAAAGGAGGAGCGGGTGCCAGCCGAGCCACGTGACGAGCGATGGAGAGGACTTGCGCATGGACCCACGAGTCGCGTCACCTGTGTAGAAGTATTGCCATTCAGTGAGAGGTACTTTCGCTTAGGCACTTGCACGTCTCGACCTTGAAAGCGAATGTCGCGCACGGGTCGTTCCTTCATTGTAACTTGCCAGTGAGTCAATCAAAAGTGAACGAACGATGCGAACCAGTCGACGTGCTTTGCCGTCGCCGATAGCCGCTTCCCTACATCGTGAAGGTGTGACAGTCGCGGGGCCTGCCTACCAGCGACGAGATGGGAGGCAGCATTCCTCGTGGCTCAAGTTGTATCGGAGGTAGCCGTCCAGGTGAAGTCGTCGAGTCGACCATGTGGTTGTAGTACGAGGAGCTGGTCGTTGGACGAGACACGTCGCACTGAAAGTGATCCACCATTGACGGGGAGTAGTAAGCTTTGTTGGTCCACAGGCCTGTAGAGTTTGACTCGATGGGTGGGAGCCACACCGACGGTGCTTGCGTAGCCATTGATGCAGTACCATAACACGGCGATGCCTCGACAAGTGGACCCGTTGGCGTTGACGGCGCTCGACCTTTTCGGGCAAATGTCCTTCCAGACGCATGCGCAGTAGTAGCAGCAGTAGCAGTAGCAGATGGAGCCACTAGAGCTATCGTCGGTCTTGCCCTGTCTGGTTTATCACGACTGCCGTCGTCCTTTGCCGTTACTCGAACAGCGTTCGTGGTCGTCGGGTCCGCCAACAGTGCAGCCAGTTTCGTCTTCTGCCTTGTCAATTGCTCCACGTACCACGCGCGTCGAGTGCCGTCAAAGTAGTAGATCGCGTGCTCCATCGAAACAATGCTCTTGCGCAAGCCCGTGATTTGGCGATGCGGCCACCGGGCGATGCCCTGTCGGCGGCAAATCTTCTTGAGCAGCGTCACACAAATGCCAAACGTTGCTGCGACGGTAGCCAGTGGTTCTTCGAAGTGCGGCCGCAACGTGTCGAGCGTGATGCTGCTTGACACGGACGTGTTGTTGGGCCGCGACGAACTCGCCGCGGTGCATGGCGATGGGACCTCTGGGGATCCACTACTGCAGGAGGCAGACGCCGTCAGTTTACGGCGTTTGACGCATGGACGAGCGGCGTCGGTGAGCTCATGTTTCGGCACAAGAGACATTCGGTCGGGCAGTGGGTGCGCGAGCTGTTGGCTCCTGCACGAGAAACTATTGTGGTGCTGTGTCGGACAGAGTCGGTCGTCGTTTGTCGGCGAAGATCAGTGAATGAGCTCTGGTGGACTCGACGTGCAGGCTGATCGTCGATGAACCAGATATGAAGTTGATCCTTGTTGGGTCCGGTCTTGCTGCGTCTGTCCAGTGGGCAGCAGCGGGCAGCTTCGTCAGCGTCAGCAGTAGAGTGGGCGAGAGGATTAGATACCAACGATCTCTGCCGTGGCTTGACGTCTATCCCTACAGGAGTGGAAACCGTTTCCAGGAGGCCGACCCACTCCGAATGATTCGGCCGAGAAGAGGACCGACCGACCGCTCGCTTGCTCGCCTTTGTGTGCTTGGGCCGCGGACCGATGACAAGAAGTCCTGTTGTCGGCCATCATACATAGGGTCGGCCCACGACGGCAAAAGCGGTTGGCGGACGGAGGGTCAAGGAATCTCGTGGGCTTTGATTGCTCTCGGACGTTTGGAAGCCTTTTTACCACGAAGGCCACGGAACGGCCGCTATGCCAGTGCCAGACGTGACGAGAAGGCATTCGTCATTGCACAGACAGCTGCAGGGCGTCGGATCGGCTTTGTGCAACGTGGTGCTGGAACGGCTGGTCAACGACGAAAGAAATGCCACTGTAAAGAGACGCCCGTGGTGCGAGTCCTACCGTGAAGCACCACGGAATTGCGCTTCTAACATGTGCGTTCTTCAAGAGTTGCAACACTTTGGTGCCGAGCAGATCTTTACCTGGCAGACGGGCAAGCACGCATCAACGTCACCTTCCTGCCGCCCTGGCTCGAAAGGCGAGTAGCGCGACGTTGCAAGGCTCACGCCATTGCAATGCTGGTGCTGAGTGAAGAAGATGAGCTTGACAAGAGTTTGTTCGTTCAGCTTGTGATGTAGTTGTCACGGTGTTGCTGACTACGAGGGAACTCGAATGGCATTGCAGCTCACATGCGGTGTCCGTCGGTGTGAGCATGTTGCATCGAGAAAGGATCTTGAGAAAACCCGTCGCGATGTGCTACCAAATGCTCATCAACGCGTTGAGAGCCATCAGTTCGGTTGAATCTGCTGCCTGAAAGCTATCGAAGCAGACGTCGAGCAGAAGTTACTCACGTGCCAAAGACAGAGCAAAACATTGCGACGACGACAGTGGTCTTGCAGCGAGTCCGAAGAGCGTCTTGTTGAGGTCCTACGTCTCATTGTCGAGGCGACAGTCTCTTGCATCGATCGGTTCCTTCCTCTAAGCTGGCGCATGGCTACGTACGTGAGCCCTGGGCAGGTGAGATAGGACGCTCATGTCGTGCTTGCACGTACCCAATCGCTCGCCACTTCAGCGCTGTTTCCTGAACGCTCTTTGCGACGGAGCGTCGGTATGCACACTGGACGCACAGCAGATTGGCCATGCTCTCGTCAGGGATAGTACGATTTTGATGACACGTTCAAGCACGCGCACCGAGCAAACATTCTCCACCAGTTTGCTCGAGTTGCGTCAGCGCACTTGGACCGCACCTTCTGCAGAACGGGTCTCGGCTGTCCATTGAGTTGGTGTCCGTAATCTTCGACGGAGGAGTTTGCCCGCAACGAGCGTTAGATGCATACGACATGTTCAGACAAAGTGTACCCCTCCAGCTTTGCCCCGTGTCGGTGCAGCTATGTGCGAGCTGGTTCCAAGACTTCGCCGTAAGTAGCTGCTACATCTCTCAATTATCGTATTTTGCTAAGTTGTGAGGAAATAGGGATCCCTTCTCCTGATATTTACCCAATTTGCATGTCCATTTTAGATATCGAGCAATGGATATTATCGAGTAAAAAATTCCATCATGGTCCCCCTTTTGCAGCAAGATTATCGCAGTTAGTAACATCCACCGATCATCCAATTTGTATGAAATCCACTATTTTCTCATCGAGTCATGCCAGCGATTATACTGCATGTCGGGTTCGGTCGAAGCACAAAGCACACTGCGCAGTCGCAGACATCGGCCATCATGTCCGCCAAAAACGTCATAAATAACGACAGACGCACGAAATGGGTGGTGAGTTTGTCACCTATTATTTAAGGGAATTGCTAAATTCACACCCCTTTTCCTTCGATTCACACCCTTCCTTCAATAAGTCTTTTATTTAAGGTCGCGACCGAGACGGGTACTGACTCAATTGAGCTTGCCGAAGCCGCTGCAAGTGGCGAGACAGCTGTCTTTGCCGATGCGTCTGACGTTGCTAGAGAGGCTGAAGCTGTGACGCTTATCGCGCAAATGGAAGCCGTTGCCGATTCTATGACGGTTGTAGAGAAGGAGAAGACGAACGTTGGCGCTACATTGGAGGGCGCTGTCGAGGTACAGGAGGCCAACGTCGAGCAAGTGGATACCGATGACAAACCCGCATCTACCTTTATCACGAAGACGAAGAGCAGCTAAGCTTTGAGTGGAGCAAACGGCTACATTTCCACACGAACGTACCGTCTCCAGCTAAGTATAAACGCCGCTGACCATCACACGCAGGATTAAAGTGTACATTTTTCTCACGATGAAGTTTCAGCCGCGTTCTGGTGAGGAAAAGACCACTGCCACCACAACGTGGATACGGAAGTAGGAACTGTCGTTCATGTATACAGTAGATCAATACCATCGTACCCGATACGCTTTTTGATACGAGGCGAAGTACTATACGTTGTTGCCATCTCGAACTTTGCTTTGATCTGCACGGTCAGCTTTGTGCCCTTGTCTCTGTATGATCGATCGACACTGGGTACTTCGTGACTTGGAACACAACCCCGTCAAGCGTAAACGTCACGATACAAAGATTCATTCGAGGACAGTTGATCACAACTGCATTCCTCGCTGCCTCTCTATTGTCCGTGCTACGCGTATGTTCCTCATGAGACGTTCATTTCGGCGACACAAGTACAGCAAGTGACTGTGGCTATGTGGAGATAAGCGCACGCGTACGAGCTGCTCAGTAAGGTGTGTCAGCAAGTGTTTTGCTGCATTCTTTGCTGCTACAAAGATAAGGCTCACGAGGTCTTAGGACCGTCAAGTTGAGATTGCAAGTCGCTCCTTCATGCAGAACACCGCCTCCGGTCCGAGACCTTATCTACATGGATAGACAAGTGCTGTAGCACGTGCAGAAAACTGATCTTGAGGTCGAGTCAGTATCTCGCAGTAAGTGGATGACGTCGAATATATATACACACGAACTGATACTGTCGCTTTCTTGTTCACATGCTGCAAATTGACAACTAATTAGCTGGAATGCAGGTACCAGTTCCTTTTCGAGGTGATCAGCATGCACTTGACCGGATCGTCAGTCGCTGCATGCGTTTGTTGCACTCGTATCCAAAACATCTGAGCTGAGATGTCGTCTTACAAAGTCTCTCTCTCTCTCTCTCTCTCTCTCTCATTCAATGACTACACCACGTGGCTGCCAACATACGCAGTGCATGTGCTGCTATGTGTATTGTATACACTACAGAGTAATTGATCTGTACGAGAGTCGCTACTACCTGCAGACAAAGCGATCGCATTCGATGGCCATTTCCGTCTATATTTACCTGTGTGACCTGACTACGAACGGTTTAGTCGCTATAGTGCTGTTGCAATCGAAGCAATTGACGTTGCAGTGAGCTTTGTATTGTTTTAATAAAATGCAGTGGACGTCGCTCGGTCCGTTACAGCGCAACTCTTGTGCGACCACTTTGGCATTGAACCTGTCGCGCACATTTTGCGTGTTCCCACTTCGATTGCTACGCACTGTCACAAGTGCTGCTGTGCGTTCTCGTTTCTTCTTCTGATTACGTTCCACGACTCGTTTCGTCTCGTGTCATCCAGAAATTGGATCACTGCGCGCATGGACAGAGGCCATCTAAACACGCGCGAAAGAAACTCGCAAAGCTCAGATCGACTTCCAGACCAGCGCATTTGTTACTTTAGACGGCACGGTGGAGTCGGATGCTTGTCGTGTGCTTTATTTGCTCGTCTTGTGTTGCATTTTGCGCGCGCATGACCGATATTTGCGCCTCGAGCCACGCGCCCTATCGTTACCGGATAGTGTTTATCGATACTGACATTTGGGAATAGATACAGGCGTGAGTAGTATCATGTATTTCTTTCTTATTACTTGCCAATTAATGGCCTAGATTATTGAGTAATACCTTTGTCAGATATCAAATCTTAAAACGAATAGGGATTTTATATATAAGATTTTAAAAGAAGGGTGTGAATCTAAGGAAGAGGGGTGTGAATTTAGCAATTCCCTTATTTAATTATGGAGGAGACAATAAACTTTTGAAACAGCTAAAAACATATTGTGTTGAACATAAAGCTTATCGGGCTGGAACAAGCGCTAAAGATTGCCTATGACATAAACTATCGAATCCAGATTTTTTGTCTATAGCACGTATAACAGAGTCTACGATGGAGACCGTTCGATGTTGCTGTTAGGCTATAATACCCAGTTAAGCATGCCTGAAGACAACGATCAGATTTGCTTTTTTGACAATCGTAGCCGCACTACTCATTTTATCTCTTTTAGCAAAGTTTTGCAACAAGGCTAAAATGCTGCACAGTATTATAATAAATGCCAAGCAGATGGGTAATGTGTCTATTGTTCATGTGTACAGATATATCGTTATACTGTCATGCAAATGGTTTATGATATACAACCCGGAGGACAATTACAGGTGCAGACTGCTCCAGTCACCGTATATTAGCTTCCGTTCGGGTTCACTTGTAACGGGGTCGGCCCATTACATATCGCTGATACCGAAAATGTATTCGAGTAAATATTTTCTTACTTGACAATGTCCATCAATATTACCTGGCTAAAAAAAGTACTGATGGAGTGTTACCTTCTAGGGTAATATTCGTAGACCGCTCCACTTATTCGTCGCTTTAGGCCATTTTATCAACCAAATTAACTAACAATCGCTGCTAGACGCGCGCAATGTGTGGTGAAGAAGAAACC